TCACTGTGCAAGTTACTTAAAAATTAATTCACTATGAGCACTTAACACCTTATTTTGAAATTATGCATTTATAGCTCTGTTCACACCTGTTCCACTCAGCATTCAACAGAAACAGTGCCTTTAAAACAAAATACTTTAAAATGTTAGTTTCTCTCCATGTCTAATAAACTATTTTGGGTGAACATTAAAAAAAAAAAGTATCCTAGATTATTCTTTTGCAGAGTCATTATCTGCAGCCTATAACAATTGATGAGTAAAAGTCTGGCTAGTGAGCGACAACTATGTATCTAAATATATGCTAACAGGAAATCTCTATGCAATACTGGTAAGAAAATAACCCTGCAAGCTTTTATACACATGCTTAATTTTAATATGTATAGTCTCAATACAAATCAGAAGAACTACTCATATTATAAATTATGTGGATGTCTATTTGCAAAACCAGGACTCAGTACAGCTATCATTGAATTCTTTGATCACTTAGAGCTCTACATTTGTCAATGTGTAAGAAATTTCTTAAGCTATTCAGCTGTAAGTTTCTGCATTGATATTGTGATACTAAAACGAGAGCAGCCATCTGAAACAGGCATTAGTTCTAACCTGTATGCCAGGCAGTGACATGCTACACCCAGCAAAGTCTCACTACCTAAACTTGCATTCAAGCTACAGTTAAGGAATGGTTTTATACCAGAACATTTCCTTACAGCTAAAATTGAGATAAAGTGATCCAAAAGCTATCATAAACCTGCTTAAATACTTATTTTTAACCCATATCTTTCCTATTGCTGCCACATCTGCAGTTGTGATGGACTCCATCTGTTCTATCCAAAAGGCTGGATTCCTACTTGCGATTTGTCCAAAAAGAAGTTAGGGGGAAAAAAGACTGCTTTCACAGGAAAGAATGAGGAAATGGATGCTTGCAGGACATGAACCTTCTATTTGAGATATCTCATGACACAAATCTAGCAAAGGTTTTACCCTCCATCAAGAACTTCATTTCTGGAAAAAAATATGATGGATTAATGGGTAAAGAATGGATTTATAATGCAGTCTGTTTAAAAACCCTTCAAACATTCTTTGGTGATCCAAGCCAACTGACAGTTTAACTTGACAAGATGGTTATTTTTCATTCTCTATATAAGCAAGGTGATAAAGTCTTACGAATGTGCCAAATGTGAGGCAATACAGGTTGGCTGGGAGAAGTTAGCAATTCATTTGCAATGCTTGCTTTTGAACAAGGAGCAGCCTAGAGATCCCAGAGCGCTTTCGTCAGTGGAGGCAGCCAAACTTCCTTGCTGCAGTTCTGTTTTGGCTGCAGGTTGCTGAGTGATATGAGCCAGATTAAGCAGGGGAGTCTGCATATGCATTTTGACCGTTCAGGTGCATTTCTTTAAGATCCCAAATAAACTCCGCAGCTGAGACAAGTGTAATAGTTATAATTCTATTGGAAGAAATCTTGACAGTCACATTCAGCCCAGTGCTCTGCAAGAGGGTCTTGCCCTGAGCTAATGCTGCAGTTTGCATTAAGGAGTGGGGTAGGATGGAGACCAGCCAAGAAAAAGGAAGGGAAAATGCCATCCAACATATCTCCCTTTTGAGCTGAGATCCTATGGTGTCCTGTATTCCTTTCTACAGGAATTGAAATATTGCAGGGATTACCGTGAGATGTAGCCCACAACAGCAGCAGTGTGAATACAGAATACAAACCCTCAGGAAATAAAGATAATGAAAAGGATTTCTTGTAGACACATCCAGTGGGAGCAAGTGTGAAAAAACAGTCAATTAAAATCTACAATACTTCCTCTTTTGCAAAAGGATCTAGCTTAATTTGTGGGGAAAGCCATGGAAAATGGTAGTATAAGCCTGGGAAAACCTCACTTATCTGAACAGAAACAAGCGATTGGTACGCAAAATGGTTCTGGATGAATATTACTCTAAGTATTATATTGCTTTTTTGAGTAAATTCAAAAACTTCTGAAGTAGACTTTAGTGGCACTTGGAAGTTTTCCAGCCTACTTTCATGTACAAGTGTGATTTTTTTTAAACTGATTTTATTGACACAGCTATACTGGCAAACACTCCAATACATGTGCATTTCTATCAGTATAGGTTAGTATAGCTGTGTCTGCTTTTAAGTTCCTGTGTAATGCCAAAATCAGTGAAGGAGAAAAAACTTTCAATATGCTAAGGCCCACATTCTTAGCTGCTGCATTCATGAATACTTAAAGCGTAATTCACTATCTGTGGCTCTCCCAAAACCACAGAAAATGTAGTGTACCAGAAGAACCAGAACAGACGTGCATTAATCAGGTCTACTCTGAGCTCCTGGCATCTGTCAGTGATTATGTCCGAGAGTCGTATATAAACACTAGCTGTAGAAGTTCTCCTGAAAGCTGTCTAATAAAGCAAAATTAAAACAACCGTGAAATTCTCATGCGTGTAACAACACTGTGATTAACTGCAGGTCTAAATAAGACTCATAACATAAGTCCACATTTTCAAATATGCCTTAAGCCATTATCAAGTCGCATTTACGTAAACCTACTTTTTATGTTGCCAAAGAACAGTACAATCAGAAGACAGATTAAAAATTTGCCAGTGAAATTTTCGTATAAAAATAATAAAACTTTAAGACAAAAGCCAAAGGATAAATATCTAAGATATCTTTAGTCTTCAATTAGCTCATCAAAACAGAACGCACCCTTTAGAACTTATGTTACAGATATGCTACACAGTGTATCTTACAGAAATGCTACAAATGGGAACTTACTGTCTCCAACATTTGAATATCTTTCAAATTAACATTGCCAAACGTTGAACCTTCAACTAAGAAGTTTATTTGACAACAGTAACTGAAGACAGAAAAAACAAATTAGAAAGTGCTTAGCAACTTCCCTCCAAAATAAACCCAGACATCAATTAATTCTCTAAAGCCTTTGGTGCCATTTGGATAAGGGCTCTCACCACATACTAGCACGTAACAGCAATGGGTTGTCCTAACTTGGAGCTTCAGTGGTTAATAAAAATATTAATAACATCTGCTATTAGTAAGCTCAAACAGTTATAATTAAAAACAATTATTCTAATTTTGATCTCTGGAAGCTAATGGTAGAAAGTCTGTTAATAGAAACAAAGGAACAGTCTAATTAAAGGAAAATGAAGCATAGATTTTTCTGTAATCCCAATTTACTCTTTCAGGTCATCAGTTAAATAATATACATATTAATCTACCTGTCATAAACCTTCCTTTCAGCCAGTGTATGCGCATTGACTCCTTTTGATCTAGGTCAGCAGTTCTCAAACTTTAGATCAGTTCCTCTTCTTTTCAGGAATACTTTAGGGTCCCCCTGAATATCTCCCTACACAATCATATACTATGCATTAATTTGCATAAAATACAAAATACATTATTTGCAGACACATACACATATTTAATTCAAATATACACAATGACTCTATCAGCACACATACCCTTCTTTCCCT